AGTAGAGACGCAGATCTGTCATAAAGCCAGTTTCTCTGCACGGGCCTGAACTGCAGCTTGTATGGCTCATGTACAATGACCAGGGGGGACACACATCCAGGTGTGACGCAGAGGCTAACGGTGATGATGGTGAAGAGGAGGAAAAGCACTCAGGTGCTGATGTTTATTTATTAATTCTGATTATTTCACCCCCGGATGCGAGGCCGTTAAGGGCCGTCAGACTGCGTCCTCACTCCTCTCGTGTCTGTCCCTCGTGTACAATGTCGACGCTCACCACTCCGCAATAGCAGAGGCAGAAGACAAAAGCGGATCGACGGGACGGATTGAAAGTATCATCTGCAGCTGGACACACGCTGGAGTCTCTCCTTCATGTGCTCAAACAGGGGAGCGCGGAGGACAGAGCGATTCCAGCCCGCAGCTGATGCTGAGAAGAGAGCCGCCCGCTGTCAGGCAGGCAGCCGTGGACGACAGGAAGGTGGTACCCGAGTGTTGGCGCTCACTACCCGGGATCTGACCGCGGGATCGTGGATCTGCCACTGCCGCTGCGGCTGCTGCTGCTGCTGCTGTTGAAGCATGGGCTGCGCTCCCAGTATTCACGTCTCCCAGAGCGGTGTCATCTACTGCCGGGACTCGGACGAATCCAACTCCCCGCACCAGACCACCACCATCTCCCAGGGCACCGCGGCCACGCTGCACGGGCTCTTCATCAAGACGGACGCGGCCGAGACCATCCCGTCGGTCATCACGTACCAGAGCCGTCACTCGCGTAACAACTCGTACAGGGACCGCAAAGAAAACAGCGGCGGACACAACCGCATCGAGGCCGAGACGCAGACCAGCCACACCAGCGTCAAGGTAAAGTAGAGCAGGTTGAACCTGGCTGAGGGACGCAGCATCATCAACACACCAGCATCATCAACACCAGCACCATCAACACACCAGCACCATCAACACCAGCACCATCAACACCAGAGTCAGCGCCAGCAGCAGGTGTTGAATGAAAACCATATTTTCCTTTGTTTTGGTTTAAAACCCGAGGAGGCCTGAGTCTGCTGCTGTCACACTTCACATTCACTCACATCCACGCTGCTAATTCACCTCACCTTTCATTCACTGTATCCACACTCCACCTGCAGCCATTACACTGGTCTCATTTAAAACAGGTAAAACACTGACACTAAAAACAGTAAAAACCCTAACCCGTCGTTGGAGATTTTGGATGAAGTTTGACCTTCGTGGGCCACTCAGTTGTCCTAGGTTCAAGTCCAGATGTGTGATGGAGTGTTCCTGGTTAACCCAGGTTAGGTTAATGTCTATAATGGGCTGCTGCCCACTCCAGATGGACAGGGAGTGCAGTTGAGGGGGAATTTAGTTTAAAACTTTCCTAAATATCAACATGGATGATCTGCTGAGACCATACGGTGGAAGGGTGTTTGTTGTTGTTGCCTTACAGTGAGGTGATCACCAGTTTGAACCCTGGAACCAGCTAATGGTTTCTTTGTGTGTGTGTTGTCCATGTGCATGGGTTTAATTAACAGTTGGCTCTAAACTGACCAGGTTCAGGCAGGTTTTCTCCACCTACTCTGGTGAAGAATCACTGTCCAAAAGATGGACACACTGAAGGACCACCGGAGAAACTGTGAGTGTGAATAGTTGTCTCTGTAGTTGACCCTGTGATGGACTGGTTCACTGTCCAGGATGTAACCCGCCCTCGACCAATGAGTGCTGGAATCGGCAGCAGTTCCTATGACACTAAACTGGATGTAACTGTAGAAGATGAATGAATGACTGACTGAATGAGGAAACACTGTAGTGACCTCAAGAAACTGGTGGCTCATGTGAATTAAGGTTGTTGATGAATAACAACTGTCAAGAATTCTTAATTGATTAGCAGATGAAGGAGTGGCTAATTAGTCAGCATCTGTTTGTAGTCCAGTAGTTCTGAAACTGTGGTACAAGCGCTCTCTAGTGGTATGCAGGGAAAATTCATATTTTCACATTTACTTTTCACTTTTGTGGTACAGAGTATAAAACGTTTCAGAACCATGTAGTAGTCCAATTATTGGCCAATATCCCAATGACATTTCCCACAATGTCTGTAGTATTTTTGAAAGAAACTATTTGGTGACTCAGTTACAAAATAATCTCATATTATTGTCTGTAAATAATGGTTGTCTTTGTAAACTGATCTACATTCACTAAGTAGAACTAATGTCAAGTTCTTTACAGTAAGAATAACACAAACAAATGACTACAGCAGCACAATACACCAAAAAAAAAAAAAAAGATAGAGATAAATTGGTCCTGAAACACATCACACAGGTTCTTTATAAAGCATCTTTATTACTTTAAAATACTAGTTGATGTATTTGTGAATGAGTGGTCAGAGCTCCAGCAGATGGTGCTGATCATTCCCATGTTCTGCATCTGTTTTTATTAAGCTTTAAAGTATACAGTTTATACTCTGTGTTTTCTACATACACGGTACAGTATATGAAAGAAAGTTTGCTGACAGACTACGGTTTATTATCACTAAGTAAAGCCCCGCGGCTCTCAGCGAAGGTTCCAGAAAACAAAATACTCTGTCAAATGAGCAAAAATGTGCGTCCAATCTGTTTGTCCTCAGGCAAAAGATCTGAGAAAATGTGCATCAAAGTGGCAGAAGACAAAGTGTCGTCCATCACTGGACGACCCAGAAGATCTGAGAAAATGTGCATCAAAGTGACAGAAGACAAAGTGTTTGTCCATGTAATCGCCTCCGTTCTGCCGGACCATTGAAGACCTAGAGTCGGTCTGTTACAGCGTAGCTAAAGTCAATGAGAGAAGGACATTTTCATGCTACATGCAACATCCTTAGAAAAATAGATCATGCGATGCATTGTCAGTGTTGTCCAGGTCGGTTTGTTCAAAAATAATCTTAAAAAAAACAACCTCACTACATCTTGGACATTAGAATTATTACACCGTGTGCATCAAGAACTACTGTGTCGAGGTTTCCTGGATCATTTATCTGTGAAGCTTAGAAGGAAGCACAAACTGAACCTCAAAAGCTCATTAGTACACACTGATTCAAGGCTTTTTCCCAAACCAGCTCTGCTTCTTTGAATGACTCGTTACATTCACCACAGCTCATCTGAACATAATGAACCAAAATAAACTTCTGGGCTGGGCTCTACTTGTTTCTGCTTCTCAGCTTTCTTTCAGCACTTTCCGGAACTTGTTTATAATTACGAGGCAGCGTACATGTCTGGTCACACTGCGTGTTTTCTGCTCATTGATGGATTCCTCTCATGAGATATCATGTGAACAGATACCTCCTTATGTGATTGGACCCCAGAGGACATAGCTGTGTTTTGGTAAAATGTAATATAGTAGATGATCCTGTCACCAGACCCTCAGCATACGTTAACCCTTTCAGGTCCAGACGCAAATAGAAAACTACTAACAATTTTAATTTTAAAATGTATATTAAATAAAAAATGATGTACATGTATTATCAATAGAAGCATTGGCTCTCCTTCTCCTTCATGTTATTCTGTTACATTTGAACTATTGGTACAGAGTATAGAGTTCTGCTCAAGCTAATCTGAATCGATGCAATCCTATTTCTCAGTAAAGCACATCATCACAAATCCCGCCTGTCGTACACATGTAGTGATTTTATTTCGCCAAGAACAAAGAATAGAGAAGATAAATGTTGGGCTTGAAAGAAAACAAAACAAATAAAACTCTTCCTATCTCAGTCATATGTGATATTATTTTGGCACACACAGTGGAAGAGTGGTTAGTGCTCTCATCAGCAAGAAGATTACAAGTTTGATCCCTGGTGTCAACCAATCATTTCTCCACAAGGAGTGTGCATGTGTTCCACATGTGTACATGTGTTTTCTCTGTGTTCTCCAGTTTTCTCCTATACTCCAAAAACACCCAGGATAAGGTAAACTGTTTACTCTCAGTTGACCAATGGAATGAATGTAAATGTGTGTCCCTGAACTGGTCCACTGTCCTACCTGGACCTCATCCTTGCTTGCTGACTGTTGAGATTGATTTCGGATTTAGCTTCTACAGATGAATGAATGAATTATTTTTTCTTCATAACAAAATTAAAAGTACACATTTATTGTTAGCAGACATTAAGATACAAAACAATAAAATACAAAAGACAAACAAACAACTAGATTCTTTGACTCAAGTTTCATCATTTCATCTGGGTAAAAATCAAGGTGTTTAATTGTAATGAATCAGAGGATTTATTTTTTGCACAAGATTCAAAAACTGATTCAGAAATTGTGTTTTGGGGCTCTTTTACCCAAAAGTGCTCAATATGAAAAAAGTGGATGATCGTAAAAAGTTTATTGTTTATGGGATACTTAAGACTCAAATGATAAGAAAAGTCAACTCCGCTGTGGTTACAGTTATTTTGGTTTTAGTAACTTTATGTTGTGTAAGATGTAAAAATGATCATGAAAGTTCAGCGTTTTCTTCATTTGTCTGTTTCCGCCAATTCTTTGCTGCTCCGGTTCATGTGAGAGCTGCAGCAGTCTTTGGTACAGCCCTACTGTAAATGCTCTCATTGGTTGAGATATGTGATGACAGCAGTCCTAAGCCAGCACTGATAAACACACACACAGGGATGAGCAACAGACTTTTCATACTAATATTAACAACTAAATATTTGTTAATAATCACCTCCTTTAATGTTCCTTTAGTGAGAGACTTAAAACAAACAAGAAATAGGAAAATCAGTCTAATGGTAATTAGCAGAGTGGTATGATATCAACACATGGATACTGAAATCATGTCTTGAGTCATTTAAGTCAGGCTGCTGGGATATCTATCCAGTGTGTGAATACATGCCACAAAGACAGATTCTGTTCAAAAAGTCAATATATTGCAAATTAAATTTCCCTGTTCACCCAGCACTAATATGATATTTAAAAAAAACATAAACATTAAACATGAGTTACGTTAATCTGTTTTATTGTGACATTGTTCTATCAATATAATTCTGAGAGAAACTTCTACTTCTTTCTCTACACTCCTGAAACATTGACTTTTCATTCAGTTTGGTATTTGTAATCTTTGCTAGGACGCTTATTAGCACATCCAAAACCACTTATTAACACTTTAAAGATATTTTTGCAGGGCATTGGAATACTTTTTATAGATCTGTGTCATGAGTTTATGGTGTCACAAAGACAGCATGTTGCTCATGTGTTTCTCATGTGAGTTTGAGTCTGTCAGCTGTTTATGAACTCTCCCGCAGTTCCCCACTGTCTGTAGGGGGCCAAAAAAAGAATCAATTATCATATTTTTACTGCCTTCGCCATGGTGTTGATAACACTGAATTGCTTGTACAGACATGGGTTTGACCATAGAGCTGTGTGTGTATTGAGTATTTACATGCACTATTCTTTTGTTTACCCCTGAGGTCAGAACAGGTGGGCTGTGAACAGTCACATGTGAAGGAGCTGAGGCCGTTCAGGGCATTTTACAGTCTTTCACAGTTACTGACTTAGAATGTACGGAGGACAATATTTTCTCAAGAATCACGACGCAAAAATATTGTTTAAAAAGGTCATAAAGTGAGCAACATCACAACCGTAATGCTGAAAGACAAAATGATTCTTAGTGCCGCAGTAGTTTAAAAAAGACGTTTGAGAAATCAGTGGTTCTCAAACGTCTTATACTCTTACATACTCTGTACCACCTGAGAAAACACTGAGCTCTCTGAGTACCACCATGATGACCAACATTAGAACATAGCAGCGTAGGCCTTCCCTGTTAGCTTCCACCACAGGAGAGATGTTTATAAATGATTTATAAAGATGTTTATGTTTAAATGTTATATTAATTGTGCATGGTATGTTTCAGATTTATTCAATTGAAACTGTAAACGTGAAAATATGAATTTTCCCCACGTACCACTAGAGACAGCTCGCATATCACCGGTGGTATGTGTACCACAGTTTGAGAACCATTCAAAAACCATAAAGCATTCCTTAATTTGTTTCTAATTGTATAAATGATGTAATGATGTTAATTCAGGCTAAAATTATATTATCCATCCATTTATCCACATTTTAAACATTTTCTGAAGGTACTACTGTAGGTATATGAAAAAGGTGGAAAGCCCCAGTGTTTATTTTAGTTTATACATTACAATAATGTGGCTATGAATATAACTGCCAGGTATGCAAATTATTATTATTAAATATGAGAAAAACAAACATCCGATTCTATTCCAGTAGGAACAGGTGCAGCTCAGCTTATTTCCTATTTTTAGTGGCCCAGTTCTATTTATCTTCAAAAATGTACAGATTCTAGACAATTGAAGAATAAACGGAATGAATGCGAGTGTGAAAGTCTCAAAAGTCTAGCAACTTGTGTACTCTGCCTTTAACAAAAGATTTTTTTTACTTCCTACTGCTCAACACTTTAAGGGCAAAATGGAAAAGTGTTGCCAACACTCAGAGCCAGTCCTAGCCCTTTTTGGTGCCCTACTATGGTTTGGTGGTTTGGTCCATTTTGTTGTTCGTATTAGGAATTTCTGGTTTGGATTATCAAATATGTTGCTAACACAAGTAAGTCAGTAACCACCTTTTTTTGCCTCCTGAGATTCTTTGTTTACTGGACTGTTTGTCTTTGTTGACTTTGCCTTAAACTTCAGGGAAGTGAATGTTCCAGAATTGAAACCTGTTCTGACTTATGTACATATATACAGTGCATACATATACTATACATACATACTATATATACTCACACACACATATGTACAT